GGTCGTACTTTGGCTGCCTGCCTTCCAGTTCCCTTAATGCTCTGGTGTTGAATGGAAAATTTATTTCTAGTACCTCTAATTATCCCTTTTTTAACTTTGCAAACTACTTGGAAAATGGCTTCTTCTTAGACAAACACCAGAGCATAATTTTGTATGTTTCTGGGAAAATGTCCCAGAAATGTTTAAAAATATGCAAGAGTGATTGTGAAGAGAGCAGGTCTTGTGGGTGTGTCCAAAAAGAAGCTTATTTCTCTGTGCCAGGTTTGCCAACTTTCCTAGAACCAATTCCAGGCAGGGTTTGTTTGTTTGTTTTTTAAAAACACCCATTTATTTATTTATTTAACCAAATTTGTATGCTTAATTTATGTAAACATTTGCCAGAAGATATTGCCTAATTTTGAGACAGGGCTATTAAAAAGTGGAGGAGGAAGTGAGCCTTCATTACTGCACTACACGGAGGGGGGTTGTGTCATTTTGAGACAGAGGAAATCTGGAACTCCCTTCAACAAACATACACTGAAAGGAAATACAACTTTCCAGGGACATTTTCATGGTATCTGTCTCTGAACACCACATTTTGGTACCCTGAGACATTAAAGCAGTTTGCTCTTGACAAGATGGGAGGTCCCAACACTGAAGGTACTCCAAATTTTTCTATGACAGTTTTTGTTGAGAAACTGTTCCCCTTTTAAAGTTTTCATTTTTTTATCTTATGGTGGAACTGCATCTGTGTTATAGATCAAACTGTTTGCATATCTTAGGGCTGGTAAGGGGATAGTAGTAAGAAGGGTAAAAGCATGTAATGCTTCCTTTTTAGAGTTTCCTGACCGAAGTGCGTGCAGGATATTAGTAGTGTATCTACCATTCTGAAGCATGTTCTAATATCATTTTTCCAACATTTAAATCTCGTCTTTTTCTTTAGCAAGGTGGGTTAGTTTGAGAATAAGTGACAGGTTCAAGGTCACCAAGTGAGATTCATGGCTTCTTGCAACTAGTGGTGGCACTAATTTTGCGGAATGCCCTGCTTAAGATGGGCCACCAAGCTATAATAGATCACTATTATGATTAGAGGTGCAACATCAAATTCTTGATGATTTCAGAAAGCGTTTATGGGATTTGGCATTGTTCAATTTTCACTACCGTTGTAAGAGCTTTCTTGGTTATAGACAGTATCCAACTGAACACTGGTGTTAATGTAAGGGACTTCACAGCTCCAATTGCATTGGTTGGGGCAGTGGAATCTCTCAGAAAACCTATCAGGCCAGATCCCAAAAAGTTGATCCTCAGAGTTAGGATGTTCGAGGTAATGCCACTGTTTAAGAGAGCAGCAGTCTTTATACCGACTATAATTTTTGAGGCAGGTTCTGTCCTGGAATGGAATAATTGCTCTGGAGGGGTCACCTATGCCAGGATTGGGGCATCTTTGGATTTTTCAGTGCCTTTTGATACCCTTGACCATGGAATCCTTATGAATACAATGTCTGAACTTATAAGGGCACTGCACTGCTCCTGCTTTGATGGCAGATAGTTCTTGGCAGGATAGATAAAAATCAATTATTTTTAAAATGTATTTTTAAAAATTAAGTTGGATTTGTAAAATTTGCATTGGATTCTTATAAATAAAATGCTCTTTGAGGAGAAACCTATCTTAAGATAGTTTTCTAGTTAAGATATATTACAGTCCAAGGGTTATTCATCATGAAATAAGGATTAGTTGTTAATTATGAGGCTGTATATTCATGCAATATTTAAAATTTTTGGTAAATGAATCCCATAAATCCATTGACAGTTTCATGCTCTTCCAGAGGTTTCTGTAAGATCACTGGGCAATTTTTCTGTCTAGAAGACATGAACACAGATGTTTGGTTTTACAGTTCTCAAAACTGTGAATGTGTGTTTGCAGAGATCACATACATCTTCTTCACAACCAAAATGTTATAAAATAGATTGTTGTTGTTGTTAGTCGCGAAGTTGTTTCTGACCCATAAATGAAATATATTTTATTTTATAAAATATACTCTATAAAAGTATAAAATATATAGAGTTGATAAAAAACCCTTAATCCCATTGTTCCTTTGCAAATCTATGTACACCAAATCAACCCCTTACCTCTTAAGTGCTAAGTTTCAAAAATTTCAATGAATAGAAGGAAATTGTTGGGAGTGGAATAGATCTGCACAAGAAGCTAAGTGCAAGGAGGGAGGGGCAAGCAGTAAAAATGAAAGTGAAACCTTTTGAGCAGAATACTCCACAAGACTTTGGATCTTTTTTTAGTGTATAGCCTTAGGTTTATAAAATTATTCTTTCTCTGGAGGAGAAAACCTATAATGGCAGTAGGATGTAAAAGAGACCCAGTTGGGGAATATTTTAATGAAGTTTCTCAACCTATGGGTAAGACAGGGATGGGTGCAAATTATGTAGCAAACCATGGTTTAAGTCTAGTCTTACTAATTATTTAAATTGCAATTTTAGTCAATTTGATTTAAATCGGATCCACCCTAGTTCTTGGGGACCTATCACTCTGCCCTTTTGGAATTGTTACGGAATTTGTCTGGGCTCCTGTGCTTTTCAGCATCTACGTGAAATGGCTGGTTGTGGCGTTGTGGACTGAGGCATCACCACTATGCCCATGACACCAGGTACTGCCTCTCCTGTTATTCTAGTACAGGTGAGGCAACTGCTGCTCTGAACCAGTGTTTGGGCAAGGTAATGGGCTGGGTGAGTAACAATAAAATAAGGCTCAGTCCGGACAAGATGCTGTGGATAATTTGTCCACTTAAGTGGCATTCACCCTTTTCTAAAGGGGACTGCACTCACCCTAAAGAAGTGGGCTTGTAGTTTGGGCAACCCAGAAGCACAGGTCTCCTCAGTGATGCAACGCACCTACTATCAGCTTAAGCTGATCTACCAACCATTACCCTATTTTGACAGTGGTGCCCTTGCCACTGTTGTTTGCATATACTAACCTTCTCTTTGGATTACTGCGTCTTATTATACATGGTGCTGCCTTTTGAAATGCCCAGGAAATGTCCATTAGTTCGAAATAGGGTGGCTAAACTACTAACTGGGACTGGCTGATAAAATCATATTATGTCAGTACTTTTCTGCTTCACTGGCTGATGCTCCACTTCTGAGTTCAATTCAAAGTGCTGGCTTTTATCTTTTCAGTCCTAAATGACTCAGGGCAAGGCTACCTGAAGGAACATCTCTGTCCATATTTACCTGTCCAGGCATTACAAGCAGCATTTGAGCCCTCCCCTTGGTGTCCCTGTCAAATGAGATGAGGTGGGTAGTTACAGAGAGGACCTTTTTGATATTGGCACCCCCATTAAAGCCCTAAACAGCTCGGGACCAGGATACCTGAAGGAACGTCTTTTTCTCCATACGCCCTCCCGCCCCTTAAGATCTGCAGCAGAGGCCCTGCTGCAAGAACACTCCTTGAAGGAGATCAGGAGACAGAATACCCGGAGGAGGGCTTTCTCTGTGGTGGCACCCCTGCTGTGGAGTGTGCTCCCCAGAGCCGTTCGAGAGGTTACGCTATATGCTTTTTGGCACCAGGTTAAGACCTTTTTATTTACCCAATATTTTAAAATTTAAATATTTTAATCAAGTTTTATTAACATCCTCAGCCGTATTTTCTCTTGTTATTGATTGTTGTATTTATTAGGTATATATCATATTATAAGCTGTCCAGAGATGATTGGTATAGGTTGGGATAAAAATATCCAAATAAATAAGTAATAATAAATAAATTTGAAGAATGCTCTCCCCAAAGAGGCTCAGCCTGTGCCCGTGTTATGGTCTTTTGATGCCAGGTCTCTTTGTTCTCCCAGATATTTTAAGAACAGCTTTTGAGTACCTTGGTTTGCTGCTGGTTTTATGATGCTGTGATGGATTTATTCTTTGCTACTGGCTTTATTTTAGTTCTATTCTTTGCTGTTTTATTTCATTTCTGTACTGCATATTTTATTGCATTGTATACTACCCAACCTGTGATCAAATTTTTCCTGTAGCTTTACAATGGCATCAGCATACTTCTCACCGCTGAATGGTGTGCCAGAATCCATGAGTGCCTTGCATGCTGGGAAATGGCAGAGGTTTGTCTGAGAAAGCTGGGCTTTCCATAACACAAGTTTTGTGGAGAATGCTCTGACATTGTCATAGGCAGCACTGACAAGCTGCCCCTGGCCTTGTAATTTCTTGTTCAGTACATTCAGCTCCTGTGTGATGTCAACAAGAAAAGCTAAGTCCATGAGCCATTTGGGATCACTTTGTACAGGAACAGCCATCCCATCTTTCTCCATGAAGGTTGTCACCTCTGCTCTCAACTCAAAAAACCTCTTCAAGACGTTTCCCCTGCTAAGCCAACGTACCTCGGTGTAGTAGAGCACATCCTCATACGCTGACTCTATTTCCTCTAAAAAGGCACGGAACTGCCGGTGCTTTAAGCCCCTGGATCTGATATGGTTGATGCATTTCACAGCGTCAGACATCACATTGTCAAACTTCAGGCATTTGCTGCAAAGGGCCTGCTGATGGATAATGCAGTGCAGAGCAATGGCCTCTTCCACAGCCTCTTCTTCCAATTTTCTTTGAACAAGCGCCACGACTCCATTTCTCCTCCCTGTCACTGATGGTGCTCCGTCGGTTATTATTCCAGCAAAACTCTTCCATAGTAAGCTGGCAACTGCAATGGCATCACACAGCTGGCGGAATATCTCCTGAGCGGTGGTCTGGCCATGAATCACTGTGAGTAACTCCTCCATCACTTCAAAATTGTTGTCAACACCACGGACATATGTGGTGGGCCGCTCATCCCGCGTGGCTCCCGGAGGCCGGCCCGGGCGCTGTCGGCGCTTTGAAGCCCGCAGGGCCCCTCCCCTGTGCCCCGCCCGGCCCGGCGTGCAGCTTAGAGGGAACATTGCGCCCAGGGTAACAACTCACGCAGGTGCGTGTGAGAAAAATGCGCGGGCTGCGCTATCACTAAACTTTGATATCAAGTGAAGGCCACAAAATATCATTCCGCGGGCCACGAGTTTGAGATCCCTGATCTAAAGAGCTTCAGAAGAGCAGGAAGTGGGCTTTTTAAAGATACTCTCAGCTATTTCTCACATACAAGGCACAGTTGTAATCCAGCCTTCCCCACTTTCCCTTTGTGCCTCCTGGATGCATTGGAATGCAACCCCAATAATCTCCAGCAGCATGTGGTGGACACCCGGCCAGGGGAGTCCGGTTTAGCCCAAATTCTAACTAGTATCTTTACTTGAAGCAAATGCTGATCCAAGTGACATAAGTCATTTACATGGCATTAGCACCTGATTGAGTGATGCTCCACCTTTGCTCAGGTAAAGAATTCAGAAGTTGCTGGTGGCCCTTGAAGCCCTGGGAAGCTTCTGTGGACTGGATGTGCTCAGGCTTCCAGAACAGGCATGTGTCTACATCAGGCTCTTGCCACGAACAAGCAGCAGGAGCCTTTTCAACTGGGTAGACATGGCCTAAAGGGTGAGAAGCGATGGGGCAGCCCAGTTTCCTGTTTTGCAGAGGAAGGCCTCTTCTTGAAGGGCTGCTTTGTCCCACTCAGCTTTGAAAATGCAGGACTCTGCAAATTATTGTCCATCAGTGGTCATGATCTGAATGACACAGATTGACCGGGCATCAGAATGAACTACCTGGTTGGAGTCTTCCACAAAATGGCAGCATGGGCTGCATTTCTAGTCAAAGAAACTGTTTCTGAATTTGCATCTATGCATGTCTGTTTTATGCAAATATGTGGCATCTTTTGTCCTTTTCTGTTAATGCATTTCCTCCAGCACCGCAGAACTGGCCCCTCTTGGGGAACCCAGCCTTCTGCCTTTGTGCTATCAACAGGGCAATAATTTTATGTGGCACGTGCAATTCAGGCCTCATTTTTTCAGCCTCCAGGCCTAGCACCTGATTTTTTCGATGAACATTGAGATGGACTGCTTCTTCTGGGATCACTCAGAAATGCAGATTATACCCTACAAAGTGCACTTTCTACATTAAGATTCAGGTTTGGTTTGACTCAAGCAGCAGCAGGGCTTCTGGGATGATTTCTGCAAGAAATGCAAGGAATTTCGATTTTTAAAGATGTCACTTCTTAACTATTTATTTGTATGTGTTGTTTAAGGTCAGTGGCCTTTAAAAAAAGGCTCAAAATTACCTGAAGAAAAGGACAACAGAAAAGCTCACTTCAATACCTGACAAAAGAAAGGCCACCAATGCCAAGAAGAGTATATTTTTGTTTTTGCCTTCTTTTATTATAAGCATATATACCTGACATAAGTACAGTATTGATTTGCCCACTGGTGGTATTGCTCTCTTTTTGTTCAAGCGATGGCGGAGCTTCCCCCCTCCTGCCAGCTGCATGGCGGTTCACCAAAATCAATCCCTTTTTGATTTTTGGAACAGAGATGGGTCAGCTAACAGATGAGAGCCCCTCCCCCCTCCATTCATGACAAAAGAGATTGTTGCATTGTGAGTACAATTTTGTAGGAATTTTAACAAGAAAAAGAAGCGCAAGAACATAATTTTCCTGCGTCATTTACTGCCTTGTCTAATTCATCAAACCAAATGGGAAAGCTGCTCCAGAAGGTTCTTCAAAACTGACAGGCTTCTTGCCTCTTTTAAATGTTTGAAATGCATAGTCAAGGATTGTTTTCCCATTTTTATAAGAGAGGATGATGTAAAACAAACCACAAATGCTGTACGTAGCCCTTATTACTTTATTTGTGCTAATTTATGCACCATAATATCAAACATTCCCTTGCCTCAGATAGGATTGTGCTGAAAGAAGAAGGTGGAAAAACTGCATTCGTCTTTCTTTGATATAAGAACTGCAAGGCACTGGACTGAGGTTGCCTAAATGCTGGTGTCAAAGTTAGGCATGGTGAGGCGCCTATGGCACACCCACTGATCAAAGCCCCCAGACTTGTTCCTTCTCCTCACCCCTGAAACCTCTCTGTTCAGCTGCCTCTTGCTGTGGCCCAGACATTGGTGGTGGTGGAATGGAGGAGCAAAAGGCCCCTTTGCCTGCCCACCCCCTGGACAGGTGTCCTGCCTGTCTAGCAAGGAAGTGGTGGCAGTGATGTGCATGAGGTGGGAGAGTGAGAGCAGCTGACGACAATGGCAGTGGGAAGCCAGGCTCACTGAAGGAGGTGCTTGCTGAGGGCATCTTGTCCAAGGACCCTCAAAACCTGCGCTATGGTGGCTGTAAATGTGAGTCAGGAAGTCTGCAGTCAAATTGCATTATGGCTGTGAACCTCCTAGGGAACCTGTGCCAATTGCTCTTCAAGCAATGGTTCAGACGTTACTTGAAGAATGGCCATCCTTGCATGAGCCTGCCCACATGTTAAAAGCAGCAAGTGAGGCCATGCTCAGATGCCCACCTGTGCGAACAATTAGGCTGTCGGACATGAAGGAAGAGAACATTTTGGGGAGCATCCTGGCATTGGTAGAAAGTGTTGCTCACTCTCATAGAAGCCGCCCCTACTGTGTTCACATGACATGTGAAGCCATGCCAACCACATGCCAGAGCTTGAACATTCAGACAGTGTCTGCAGTACTGCAACCCACAGTGGCTTAAATGGCCGCATTGGGCTGTGATGATCATGTGAAATCTGGTTGGTGAGCCAGCCACCTGACAAAATGTGCCCAGGATTATAATGATGCTGCTTGTATTGTAGGCTGGGGAAAGCTTTAGCCAAAAGGTGCCTTCGTAGCTTGCATTCACCTCTGCATGAGCCCATTGAGAAATTCTCCTAGATCATAGCACCACCTAGTGCTTGCGTAATGGAACATATAGAAGGGCAGAGACTGAAAATCTCTGGAAAATAACATGTACAGGAGCTGAAAATAACATGTACAGGAGATTCCTGCAAAGAATCTGAAAGCAGAATCATTGGTAAAGTGGCCTCATGTAGAAAAGCCCTGTGACCAGATGACCTGCGTGTCTGAAGGCAGGGTACAAATAGAGGATGGTCCTCTGGCCATCCTTTAGATAGAGGACTGTTCTTGGCTCTGCACCCACCCACAAAGCTCTTATTCTTGTTCTCACTTTGTCCTCTAAGAAAGAGGATATAAAGAAGCAGCTTTCACATTTTTGCTGCATGAAAATAAAGGGATGTGGATGTAGGCCTTTTCTGTCCAAATCCACACTTCGTCCAGCAAATGGCAGTGCCTCTTGCTTGAGGCTGAACATTTCAGAGGACAATTAGTCACAGATATCCTTCAGCCATGGAATTAAATTGGGGAGAAGGGGAGGAGAGAAGGGAAGCAAATACTTGTGCATCCCCTAGAAACTTATTACAGTGAGTGCCACATTTCTGGTGAAGGGGAAAAAGCTGGACTACAGGATGGCATCTATAGAATTGCACTGGTTTAAATACAATAGGAATGTGTGTGCATGCACCTGCATATATATGCATATATAGTTCAACCAAATTTTAAGGGAAGTAGCACATCAGAAATCAAGGCTGCAAACCTAATATAGGGCCCAATAGAGATTCAGACTCCCTCATTCCCAGTTTTATGCCTCCTACTCTAAACAGTCAATTAGCATTTATAGCCACTGCCAGTGAAAATGCTTAGTCCTCACCAGGGTATCCCCCCTTTTTTTCTGTTTGTACTTCTGCAACTTTGGAATTCCTCCAAACTTGTTGGTACCTCCATACCATGTGGATGTGCCATTAGAAGGAATTAGAGGCATGCATGGAATTAAACTATGTACATTTTGCTCCTCTCTGTTCTGTCACTTTGCTTTAAAACAGGCAGCACATTGTTAATTAATTATAAAATTATTGCTTCAACATTTGGTCAATCAGTTAGATTGATCAATTAAATATTTCACTCAATTAAAAAGGTGCCCCAATTAATCAGGCAACAGACATTTTAAAGATTAATTAATACATTTCTTTACAAATCCAAGGTGGGGAGGAAATATGTTTTCTTAGAAGAGGCATTCCTTTTCTTGCATCAGCTGGAATGCCTCTTTTGAGATAAAACAGGCATGCAAGTTCTTCCCTTACAATCAGCCAAAAATAATTTAAAATAAATAAAATAAATACATTCTGTAAAGACAGAGTTTCCAGAGCTATTATTTTATTTCTAACCAG